CCCACCTCTTGGGTCCAATTGGTTCATTTACAGTAAAGGGGAACAACCAGGTGCGGAGAAGATCTCTGCTTCCTGAATCCAGGAACCATTTCGGGTCACCTGCATTTAGAAGACAGTTGGGAGTAGTGCTGGCGGCGGTTGGCGTGCTCCGGCCTCGAACTAGCATTCACATTTTGCCGTGCCCCAATCCCGGGCCCTACCGTACCTTGACACAAAGCAGATATGAGACCCCAAAAGCGGACATCTAAGCATGACATCTTCTAGGGTTCTCGCATCATATTCAAGGAACAAGATTCCACCTCGCAGCAACCTCTCTCTGGACCATCAAGTTTTAGTAGCCACCTATTGCCGATACCCGACGGCGCTTATCTGCAGTATTCTGTCGACACTGCCATTCGGCGCTGCAAGCGTCATGGAGGCGGCTGACCTTGGCCGCTTCGCGACTGAGAGAGGGCTGTCTTTCTTGCTCAAAGGTGACAGAGTGTGTCTTCTGCCCGTCGGTTCGGATATAGTATAGCTCCTGTACTTCTCCGAAGTCAAGGTGATGCAGCCGGTGAGCTTTGTCATACTTGATCGATCTCATTCTTTGCAGAGAAATGCAGGGAGAAAAAAGCGAGGAGGTCCAAGGAGAAGAAGCCACGCCACTTAATCTGGCAGGGAGCAAGCTCACGGCGGTATGCAAACCATGTCTGGCAGGGAGGACTTCTATGGTACCGTTTCGGTCATCATGCGTACTATACATCGATCTGTCAGCGGTCCAGGACTCCATGCTTCACGCAAGGTCCCAATGCGTGATGGCGACTTATTCAATGTACGTCGTCAGCCCGTCTATCCCTGACGTTGTTGTTAAACTTGATCAAACCATGGAAGATCCCATTGGAGTGCGAAGAGACTGTAAAAAATGGGTTTGGATTGCAAATCACCGTCACGTCAGTATAAAAGGTCTCATGCCGCCATACTATGATTGGACCATGAGGCTATGCGACCAGGCGATGCACAGGGGTCATTGTCCGGCCCGAAGAACACACAGAATCGCCTGGCAAGAATACACGTAGTGTTCCAGTGGCATCTAACTTCGTCGCAGTTTGACAATTTTACTCTTACACATGCCGAGGGTAGGTGGAGTGGGCTTGAGGTCGGGATTGGTTTCGCTTGGAACATTTGTCCGTATCTTGACTACAGAACTTGATTGATTGGTCTTCAATATGCTATTTTGGTGGAAAGTAGTGCCTCGTGGTGGCAGATTATTACTTCGAGACTGTACTCTGCGGGTCGTGTCTGCCGAAAATTTGCGTCTACGGTATTGCTATATGCCGTTTTTCCATCCCAAACCCTACTGTCGAGGTCAACACAACATTCATCAATGAAAGGAACAGGGGCGTATGAGGAGCTCAGACGCATGAAATGCACCTAGCAGATCTCATGGCTTCAGTAGTTCACGTACACTCAATCCATTGAACTGTCCAAATGATAACGCGTTTGGTTAATGTAGAGTGGCTGTGTAAGGATGATATCAAATATGCTGTGCTTGAAAGGCTATAGTTAGACTCCACGTTGTTTGACCTAGGAAAGTTTACTTGTAAACTCTCAATAAAAGCTATACAGGCTATCAACACAAGGAAAGTACGGCCATTGTCACGGGAGTTCAATCAGGAAGATAACGTCCAAAGCAAGGACTTTAGCATATTGCTGTATCATATTGGTTTCCATGCTATACTGAAGTGAGTAGGACTCTTCGACTCTTTAAGCCTCCCGCTGCTATGTTCGCCCATGTTGTTCCGCGCCATTCGCTTGTGCCCGGTTGCTATGCTGAGCATCGCAGTGAATGCGACGGAGTCGCGCTCCTTCCTCGGGAGTTTGCTTTGCGTTCCCAAGATGGCCCAGGCTTTATTCCCAGCGAGATATCCCCTTCAGGCGTGCCTCTGCCTATCCACCAACGGTCCGTCAACTCACACTGCCGACCGTCGCCATCCGCTCTCACGACAGCAACTGCAACAACCGGAATCACAGCCGCAGCGTACCACCGACAATGGCGACTTGGGCCGCCATCGCACGCAAGGCCGCAGAGACCACCGCTGAGGCCCTTGAAGAGGGCGTCAAATTCTCGTGGGCGGAGAACGAAGCCAACAAAGTCACCGCCGCCACCTTGAAGGAATTCGGTCCTCCTCTTTCCTATGACACCGACAGTGACAACGGCTGTGAGTCCAAGGTCAAAACTGAGCTCAACGCTGGCCACAACAACAACAACATCATCATGGCAGCTCAAGAAAACATCGTGATTGCCCCCGAGGTGCCCATGCAGAACACGGCCGGCACCTCTCCCGGTCCTGCCTCCGACGAGGGTGCCTCGTCCTCGTCTGCCGCTCCTTCCGTTGGAGCTCCCATATCCAGGGTTGAAGAGTTCAAACTGGCTCTTGGCGACTTTGGCACTCAGCTTGGTCTGATGGTCCGCCTCAAAGGCGTGGCCCCAGAGAATGTCGACGAGTGTGTCAACAACATTATCGAAAAGAGCCTTGACGATATCATTGCTGTCAAGGGCAAGGATGCCCAGAAGAACAAGAAGGTCCAGAGATCGGACGCTGCCAATAACAAGAAAATCACCGCTCCTACCCAGCAGCCTGAAAATGATCCGAAGAACAAAGGTAAAGCTGTCGAGACCACTGACGCCTTCACCGGCATGATGGAGGGCTACAAGTTCTCAGCTGCCTCGCAGCTTCCCCCAACAGTGAGCCTCACCTGTCGAGACTTACTCGTGGAAGAACGCAGAGCCCAGGGTTCAGTGGGCTGTACAGTCTGCTCTCGATCTTCGCCGTCTCCAGAAGTGAGTTGCTTCCTGATCCGGTGTTTTTCTCTTCATCACAACTCCCAGCTGACCACAGGTAGACTTTCGCTTACCCAGGACACGGCCGACGTCATCATGTTCTTCACAAAGCCCGATGCGGTCACTGGAGAGACTGAGATTCCAGTCCATCGCGAGCTGCTCATCAGAGAGTCGACTTGGTTTAGTCGTCCGGGCGGCCTGCCTCCTCCGAACAAGGTGTGTCTTGTGTCCGAAGGCTGATAAGTAGATCCCACTGACACGGGCTTAGGACGGCAAACCTGTCTATATCTGTCTCGGAGAAGGACCTGCCGGCGTTGTTGGGCAGGTCTTCAGGTTTCTTTACAACCACAGTGAGTAGTCTTTTCCCAGTGTGTAATCAGCTGCTAACGACATTCTCCTTTCCCAGAGGTCGACGAGTGCGAGAGAAACGCCGGCTCGCCCTTCCACCTTATCCATATCCAGTGCAACGTAAACCAATATGTCCTGGCCGTCGCCTACGGCATGACTCGCCAGCAGCAGTATCATCTCAACAAGGTTCAAGAGCATGTCGAATGGCTCAGGGAGCACGTCTCTCACAATGCGCCTCTATGCAACATGGTGCTCACTACTGGCGTGGAGATCGGATGGTGCGAGGTGCCGCTCCGTCACTGCAACACGTGCCTCTGGAAGGAAGTCATCCCGGCATACCGCGAGGTCTGCGCCGGATGCACGTTCTCGTTGCCCGGCTCAATCTCATCATCGTGCCGTGGATGAACCGCCAGCCTTGTGTCAAGCCATTCGTCGACATGTTCTGGATCACACAGCAGTATGGCAGCTT